ATTCTAAACGGGTTGGCGGGTCAACACGTATATTTTTTGAGAAACCCATATATGACCTGTTTAATAAACAGGTTGACGGGTTGAAAAACTCAACCCAAACCCGTTTATTTTGTGTCGTGTTGCGGGTCATGTCGTGTGTCGTATCGAGAATTGCCAGGGCTAATGGCAACAGCTATTATTTGTATTATAGATATAAATAATATAATACAACTGATAAATTTTTTATCAAGTAAAAGTAACATAAAAGTCTGAGTTTGGGTTAGGCCCAGTTTAGTTGATATTGGACCGCCAAACCAATTGTACCTGATCTTGAAAATTGAATTTGAATGCACGGTAAAGGCCCACACTTAACTACCCAATATCCAAAGATAGTATTATGGCTAAACATTCACTGCAAATCGCCAATTATTCACCAATTATTCACTGGATCAAGATGAATCTCAAAATCAAAAGAGAAAACTAACCGAAAGAATAAGTAGATTCAACATATCATTATTTTATATGAATATGAGGATAGACATGAACAAATGATAGAAGGATATCTGATTTCTCATCAGCCGAACTTTTAATTAGAGACCAACTAGACCTCGTTGTGCTTAAGGTAGGTTGTACCTTGACCTTGTATGAGTTTTAGTTATTGGAAATGATTACCCTACGTTTCTAAAGATATAACACCCATATTACCTTAAGGACTATGTTTAATTAATTAAATTAACTACAACCAACCCAAATCAGCTTAATATATATTTGGATTCTGGTATTATAAAGTTGTAATGAACTAATTCTGATTTATGTAAGCAATATGTGTTGCAGATGTTGAATCCTTCAAATGGAATTTGGCCATTCACAGTAACAACTATTCTCATGTCACTCATTTTGAAGGGTACATTGGATTTGATCTCCATATCTTCTGTTGTTGCTGCACAACCATCATGACCTGGTCAATGTCAGCAAGTCAAGCAGTAAAGCAGCTCATTTTTGGGCAAAATACAAGAAATGTAAATAAGGAAATATTGGACAAATAAAAGAAAATCATCAGTAGATGCTAGATATAATAATTTTCTTGATTAATATATGCTAAAATTAGGCACACTTTAATCAAGGAACAATTCACAATAAATAATGTGTGATTATGTGTGAGGGTGAGAGAGAAGATAAACAACAATCAAAATGCAAATAGAGAAGGTACGTAATTATAGGTAGCTCCCTTAAACTAACTACACCTAACTTGAAACAAACATAATCTAATTTTATAACTCTTTTACTGTATAAGGTTGCAAGTCATTATAATATTTTAATTTAGAAAAAAAAAACAAATCTTTTGTTTATTGTCTGAATTTATTTATTCATGTTATTGAAGCTTATTTAAGATAAGCAACATATTTTAAGTTTAATATGTCCAATCAGAATCCAATATAAAGGTTTATATTTTTCTCAACAAGTTAAATGGATTGAAACATTCAAAAGAAAGAAAAAGAAGGTAGATCGAGTCTAGCAGTTGGTTTTTGGACCCATGCATGAAAGCTTCCCAAACTGAGTCGACGACTATCATAACTTGGTAGAGGTGGGAGTGAGTGTGTGTTTATATTTTAGAAAAATTTTGGAATTAGAAAAATGTGGAAAACAATAATTATTGGTTTTTCAAAAATTCCCAACTTCTTTGTTATTTTAGAAAACGGAAAATTTTCATTTTCCGTGAAAAATTTAGAAAAATAGACGAACTAAACGCGTTTTCAAAATTCTCATTTTTCTATTTTTCCGCAACTAAACGCACCCTAAGGTTGCGTTTAGTTACGGAAAAAACAATTTTCATTTTCCGTTTTTCGTTTTACCTTTTCAGTTTTCGTTTTTTGTTTTCAGTTTTCATTGGAAAATTTAGAAAATGCGGTTAGTTAAAACTTATTCATTTTTCATTTTCAGTTTTAGAAAATTAGAAAACGCGTTTAGATGTGTATATTTCTATCGGTTTTCACTTTTAGAAAACGGTAGCATTGGTAGAATGGGGATGGGGGCAACGGCGAGGGGCAGTGGTGGTGTCGATGATGGCGGCGGTGGTGGTGGTTGTGGGGCGGTGGTAATGACAGGTAGTGGTGGTGGTGATTGCGGCGGCGGTGGTGATGCTGGTGATGGGGTAGTGGTGGTGGTGATGGTGATGGTAGGTCGGTGATTGTGGTAATGGTTTTGTGTGTGTGTGTGTTTATAGGGGTGGGTGTGGGTGTGTGTTTGTGTGGGGGGGGGGGGGGGGGTGGGTGGGTGGGTGTAGGTGTGAGTGGGGGTTGGGGTGGGTGTGTATTTGTATGTGTGTGTGTGTGTTTGTGGGGGTGTGGGTGAGTGTTGGGGTGGGTGTCTGTTTATGTATGTGTGTGCGTGTATGTTTGTGGGGTGTGTGTGTGGGGGGGGGGTATGGGGGGGGGGGGGGTGTGTGGTGTGTGTTTGTGTGTGTGTGTGTGGGTAGGAGGTATAGAGGTGGGGGTAGGTAGAGGTGGGAGTGAGTGTGTGTTTATATTTTAGAAAAATTTTGGAATTAGAAAAATGTGGAAAACAATAATTATTGGTTTCCAAAAATTTCCAACTTCTTTGTAATTTTAGAAAACGGAAAACGTGAAAAATTTAGAAAAATAGACGAACTAAACGCGTTTTCAAAATTCTCATTTTTCTTGTAAAATTTTTCCGGAAAACGGATCATTTTTTCGCAACTAAACGCACCCTAAGTTTTTGTGTTTTTTTCTAGAATCCGTTCAATTTGGAAGGAAAATTTGGAATGAAAATATGACTCTAAAATTCATTCATTCCCCTCACTTTTCTTCCATTAATTACACTCGAAAACACAATTTTCCTTCTATATGTTTCACTTTACCTCCATATCCCTTCTTAAATAGGAACAAGACGTTAAGAAAATCGCATGTATAGATGAAACTTGAAAATTTATTTATTTATTAAATTGTGCTCTTTTTTACTATTAGTTAAATTGTTTAACAAACACCAAATTGTGCAACTTTTTTATATAACCAATTTGATAAACAGAATCATAGAAATCGTCCAATGTCGCAGCAATTTATAGTCATCAATTTACTTCGTCTAACCGTATACTGTTTTATACCCTTATTTACAAAAATACTCAACTTTTATTCTTTGGAAAGGCATTTAAGATCATTGAACAAAGTTAATCCTAATAACTCATAAAATTAAGATCATTGCCTAATATTTTTTCTTTTTATTTTCTGTGTATTCTTACCCTTTTCTTGACATATAGGGAGTCACCTAATCAACCAACCAATCATTTTTGAAGGTAAAAAAGGAGGCAAGATTTTATGATTGGTCCATCATATCTTATTAAGTAAATGATAATGTGAAAATGACTTATGATAGGAATTTTGGGCAACTGAAATATGATTTTGTTCAATTATTATATATTCAGAGACCCATTCCACAAATGAAAACGATCATAACCTCGTTTTCTCACTAACTTCATTTATTTCTCTGTTTATACAACATGTTTAAACAAAAATATGTTAAAAAATGAATTATTACTGCGAATGAATATTTTAAGAATAGTAGCTAGTTATATACATTTAGCTTTAAATTAATTGAACAAACTCGAAATGAAAATATCTACATATATATTCTCCCCGATCATCAATTACCTTGAAATTACACGTGCATATCCTAAAATTCTATTAAATTCTAAATACATATATATCAATAGTGATCATAATATAATATTCTATATAATAAACGTAAGTTTTGGTAGAATTTATTTGTTCCAAAATTATAGAGTTGTTAAGAGTTGGTGGGTGGTTACAACTTACAACCTCAACAATTTTTATACATAATGTTATATATACCAATTTACGTAAGTTACCAATCTTTATCTTTAGTGTATGTATTATTTCATAGTATATTGGTATTTTAACGATTATAGTTAAATAATTGTTTGATGAAATGCAAAGACCTACGAAATCACTAACTATGTCATTGGTTTAAAAGTATACGTTTCACATACTTCAGATTTTTATCTATGTATTTTAGAAGCTAGAATTTAATTTATTTAGAAGATACTACTCTAGAAAACTCTTTCACTTTATTTTTAACAAATGTTACGAGAGGCTTACAGAATCTAGAAGGTGAGGAAATGCTATTTTAACCTAGCTAATCAAATGTTATAAACGATTAATAGGCCCACCTAATTTTCTAATTTAGAACTATTTTGATTCATGTACGTTATTGGCGCATAATGGAAGTAAGTAAACACTAAACAATGTTTAAGAGTCACAATTATTTATTTATTTATTTATTCAAGAAGCTCTTAAGGTTATAAATTAAACGTATTTTAAAGATATAAATTTGAGAGTTATTGTCAGATTCAAACATTTGAATTTGAATATAATTGAAATTAAATGGCTAATCAACCACATTAATTCGAATATGCGTCAAAACTCATTATACCTTTTTTTTTTTCTTTTTGACAAAAACCTCCGGTTTATCAAATGATTATGATAGCATATAATAAAACACACTTTTTCCTAAAACCATTTCAATTTTAGGAAAAAAAAAATACAACACAAAAATACCAAAGAAACGATATTTGGACTATAAAGGGTAAGTATTGTATTATTAAAAAGAAAAATATATAGTTTAGTTTTAAAACTTAAATATTTAAGAAATTGACTATTTCAATGATAAAAACAGGAGTCATTGCCCGTACCTAATCTTACCTTCATATTCTTACAACAATCATCAATCAATCATTCATTTTATTCATAATTTCATATTATATATATACATATCACTGTGTGTAGTTTGAAGTTGGCTAGCACCCAGCTTGAATCTTACATTATCATAATTTTCTCCCTTTTACGTGCATTCATTTGTGTTCTTTTCGCCAACTATCCGGCAAAAATTCACAAAAAAACAAATCGAATTTGCTTCAAGTTTCTTAAAAGGAACTAATCCTTTTCATCTCTCCTGAAATTTTCCACCTTCGGGTATCAAAATTCAACATGCAGCGTCCACCGTCGGAAGAATTTTCCCTCAAGGAAACCTCGCCGAAAATCGCTGGATCAGGCAACTACTCGGTCGGCGACAAGCTCACCTGCACCTATGACCTCGTTGAACAAATGCAGTATCTTTACGTCCGAGTCGTCAAAGCCAAAGAATTGCCACATAAAGATGTCACCGGAAGTTGCGACCCTTACGTCGAAGTCAAGCTCGGAAACTACAAAGGGATCACCAGACACTTCGAAAAGAAATCAAACCCAGAATGGGACCACGTGTTCGCCTTCTCTCAGGATCGAATTCAGTCATCGTTTGTCGAAATCATTGTCAAAGACAAAGATGTAGTCTTGGACGACTTCATCGGAAGAATCTTGTTTGAACTTCACGATGTCCCAAGAAGAGTCCCGCCGGACAGCCCACTGGCACCGCAGTGGTACAAACTGGAGGATAAAAGAGGGGAGAAGCTTAAACATGGCGAAATCATGCTCGCCGTCTGGAAAGGAACTCAGGCCGACGAGTGCTTCCCGGAGGCATGGCACTCCGACGCTGCCACGGTGGGCAGAGAAGGTATATCCAAGATCCGAGGGAAAGTTTACTTGTCTCCAAAGCTTTGGTACGTGCGAGTTAACGTAATTGAGTGTCAAGATCTGGTTCCAAGTGACCGGAATAAGCCACTGGAGGCCTGTGTGAAGGTAGCACTGGGTGGTCAGTCTACCAGAACTCGAATTTCTCTGGTGAAGACTGCAAACCCAACTTGGAACGAAGACATAGTTTTCGTAGCAGCAGAGCCATTTGAAGAGGGTTTAATGTTAACAGTCGAAGATCGAGGTAACAAAGATGAGGTACTGGGGAAATGCTTGTTACCCTTACACTCCGTGAATAGAAGGTGGGACAACAAAACCGTCCAGTCACGGTGGCACAACCTCGAGAAACACCCCATGTACGACGGCGAGAAGAAAGAGGTAAAGTTCGCCAGTAGAATTCATCTACGTGTGTGTTTAGATGGAGGGTATCACGTTTTGGACGAATCAACAAATTATAGTAGTGATCTAAGGCCCACTGCCAAACAAATATGGAAGTCGAGCATTGGTGTTTTGGAGTTAGGGATTATAAGCGCAAAAGGGTTGTCTCCAATGAAAACAAGAGAAGGTCGGGCCACAACCGATGCTTTTTGTGTTGCAAAATACGGGAATAAATGGGTCAGAACAAGAACAATTATCGACAACTTTTCACCAAATTGGAACGAGCAATACACATGGGAGGTTTACGATCCGTGTACCGTGATAACAATTGGGGCATTCGATAATGGGCACTTACATGGGTCGAATAAAGACTTGCGGATCGGAAAGGTTAGGATCCGGTTATCAACACTCGAGACAGAACGAGTGTATACGCACTCGTACCCTCTCATCGCTTTACACCCTTCAGGTGTAAAGAAAATGGGCGAGGTACAATTGGCTGTGAGGTTTTCGTGCACATCATATATTAACATGCTGCACAAATATTCACAACCAATTTTACCTAAAATGCATTACGTCCATCCGTTATCCATGAGTCAAACCGATACGCTAAGACACAACGCAACTCAAATAGTCTCGACCCGGTTGGCCCGGGCCGAGCCGCCATTGAAGAAAGAAGTGGTTGAGTACATGCTAGATGTTGGTCAACACATATGGAGTGTTAGAAGGAGCAAAGCGAATTTTTTTCGGATAGTAAACGTGGCTAGCAATTTAGTAGGGTTGGTAAAATGGTTCGACTCAATATGCCATTGGAAAAATCCGCTCACGACCCTTTTAATTCACGTACTTTTCGTGATGCTGATACTCTCTCCCGAGTTAATCTTGCCTACGTTTTTTCTGTACCTCTTTGTCCTAGGGATTTGGAGGTACAGATGGAAACCAAGGCATCCTCCTCATATGGATATCAGGTTATCACACGCGGATGCGGTAACCTACGATGAGTTAGATGAAGAGTTTGATACATTTCCTACTGGTAAAGGGTCTGATGTGGTGCGAATGCGATATGATCGATTAAGAAGTATTGGAGGTAGGATTCAGACCGTTGCTGGTGACTTGGCAACTCAAGGCGAGAGGTTTCATTCTTTGCTGAGTTGGCGGGACCCTAGAGCATCAGCGTTGTTTGTGACGTTTTGTTTGATGGCGGCGATTGTGTTGTACGTGACACCATTTCAAGTGGTAGCGCTTCTTGGTGTGTTTTATGTTTTGAGACATCCGAGGTTTCGAACTAAACTACCTTCAATGCCGGCAAATTTCTTCCGGAGGTTGCCTTCTGGTGCAGATCGAATGTTGTGATGTACCGGTATTATTTATATTTCTTGAATTGTCGGTTGTAGTTGATAGTTTAGGTAACTAGATTGGAAAGAAAAACTTTATTTGTCTTCTCAAATTTGTAATATTTTTCTCTAATTTAAATTGTTGTAACTATTATTCGGGGGCAAAAGTAGGTGGTGCCAATAGTTCAATTAAGGTTTGAGCCTTGGCTAACAGAAGATTGGAGCTCAAATATCTCAAAATTTTCCTAGACCTATGTTTAGTAGATCGACCAAACTCAACTCGGAAGCTTGAAGAGCTCAAAATATATATTAAAAAAAAAAGTTAGGTTAAATAAAGCAAGAATGATTCGAATTTGACCCAAATATATCAACATATACAGTAGACTAAAAAACTTGATAAAAAATCGAGTATAGTCCTTATACGTTCAAATTCAACTTGTTACATGTTCGTGTCTGCTTTTCATACTTGAAGTCGATAACGTTTGACCTTAACGGAGCTCAACTCAAGTTCAAGCTCGAATAACTCGATGAAGTTTGATTTGATTGCAGCCTTAGTAGACAGATACTTTCAATTGGTCGAAGTTTTTCATAATAAGCATGAACTGGTGATCTCACATAGAATTTCCATATCCAATTAAATGACACACGTTTTATCCCAAAAATAATGCAATACTCCTTTGTCTGTCGGATTGATTAAAATACATAGACCAAATTAATTAACAAACATGTTACACGAGTTTGGCATTTAATCGGTGACAAAAGTTTTAACGGACTTGCCTTAAGCCCATTGGGCTGTTTCTGGTTTTGGTCCGATTATCTCATTGTAAAATTATAACTGTTAATTTAATTAAGATTTTAAAGCGTATTTTGCTCTGGAAATAAATTTCATAGAAAATTTGGATTTAAAGAAAGAGGGTGTAAATTAAAACTGAAAAACCGACAGAAAAACGTAACAAGTTAAATAATTAGTAATTACATATTACATATATTCAATGTTTTAAAAACCGGTTTGAACCGGCCGGTCGAACCGGTTGGACCGGGAACCGAGAGAATGAGCGGTTCAACCATCACCGGTGTTACATTGATTTCTGAACCGGATTGAACCGGCCGGTTTTTAGAAAAACCCGGTTGAACCGGTGAAAATAAACCGGTTAAACCGAATAAAAACACATGAAAAAGAATCATTTACATAATAAACTTTGGTGATTTTTTTCAAATCTATTTAGTTTTATCTAAATAAAAACATATGGTAAATGTGATAAAGTTTTTTTGATGTGTTTGTATTCATCTAAAACTATATTTCGTTTCGGTATTATACTTTATTTTCTTTTTGACGTATATGGATTGATGTAAAACACTAAAACTTATAGTTATGTGTTATTTTAATGTATTTTGATTCATCTACAACGTATTTTTATGTGTATGTCTAATGTTTGAACTTGTAAATATCAAATTCATACTTTATATATGTATGTATGTGTAGGAAAATAGAAAAAAACATGAAAACTATAGAAACTAGTTCACCCGGCGGTCGAACCGGTTAAACCGGTTGAACCGTGAACCGGTCACCATACCGGTTCAACTAAAAAACCGGTTTTTAAAACATTGCATATATTTATAACATTATAGAAGTTAAAAAAGTGTAGATGAGCTATGCAGGTGTGTGTGTGTATGGGACGGTTTGATTCGATTATTGGTCAACCGAACCATAACCATTACAATTGGTTAATGCATTTCGATAACCATTGGGTAGCGGTTAATATTGGTTTTGGTTAATGGTTTTAGTCGGTTAATAGTTATGGTTAATGGTTAATATCAGTTAACCATAATAGTCCAAGATAATATAAGAATAAAATATTTTTCTATAAAAATTGAATAATATAAAGTCCAGTGTAATAAAAAGTGAATTGTTGTATATAACTATATATATAATTGTATTGATAGAATATTGCATATCCTATCTAATTCTGATGAATTCCTTTTAAATTTTCAATTCTTAATATAATTACATACCATACATTCAATATTATATTATACTAATATTATTGGTTCGCTTTGGTTTATGGTGGTTCGGTTTTAGATGAAAACCATAACCGAACCATATGTATTCGGTTAATCAAAATTAGAAACCGCACCATATTTTTTAGTAATAACTAGGTGTAAGACCCATGTATTACATGAGTTCATTTTAAAGAAAAAAAATATATGAAATTTTAAACATTTGAGAAGTTTGAATTTATAAGAAAAAATAGAAAAATATTGAATTATTAAAATTAAATTGTTTGTTTTTCTTTTAAATTAAACAAATAATTTAGATAAATAAACAAAAGAAACTAATAAACTTTAATTTATAAATTTTGAAATTAGAAAGAAGTCAATTAATGAAATTGATATACATTTATTATTACATTTATTGCAGTTATTACATTTAAATATTATGTGGAAATTAATAAAATGAAATAAACCATAAAATATCATGTGGAAAAAAATTAATTGAAAATAACTACAAAATGACATGTGACCAAATCAATGAGAGTGTGACATGTGGCAAAAAAGTTTTTTATTTATTATGGAGGATTCAGTTATATCGGTTAATTTGATTATGGTTCGATTTTTCGGTTAATATGTTCATCCTACTTATATGACCAATTAATGTCATTCCATGTGCCCAAAATTTTATTCAATAATATATCTTTCGGACTAATAAATAAAATATTTCTTAATGATATTTAAATACGAAATTAATTTAACCCATTAATAATGGTTGCAACATACTACATGCATATTTGAGATACAAGAGCTTTTCGATTCTATTTACTATTAAAATTAATTTAAATAATGGATTGATGATAAACGTTTTGATTCAGTTCTTAAATAATATTTTTGATATGAATAATAATCTGTATATAAATTGGATTTAAAGAAGAAAATAAGAATTAAAAGAAAATCAAATTGGGAAAAAAACATTTAAATAATTGCAATAAATAACCAATGTGACTACGAGGCTCTGTGTATTTTTAAGAAAATCATTTTTGGGTGTGTCGTGCAGAACATGAGCAACACTTGATCTTTCGTATCTATTTGTTTCTTAAAAAACTTATAACTTAAAAACTATTGCGCGTATTTTGTGTGCCTTAACACCGGACCCTCCTCTTCAAACCATTTTTCATCTTACTTTAAGTTATGTTATTCAACATAGATTTGTTTTATTTTTTTCAACATTTTATTATTTTAATAATATTATGAAGGATATCATAAATAATTCAAGTATATTTTATTGTTACATTGTTCATAACCAGATATTTATAAATTATAAAGTTAATCACTAAAATTGTCAAATCTATTTAAGTTAACTAAAGAAATAACCATCGTCTTCGAAATTTTAACAAAATGACTATGTTGTTCGTTAAATTAACAAATTTATTTGTTGTTATTTTGCAATTGTTATTTTTAATTATTTTATATAAACGTCTTTAAAAATCATATCATCACAATAATCTTTATATTCGATTTGCATATGATTAAAACTAAATAATTTTTTGATATAAAATTATTTTTAGTTATTGTATGGTTAATTTCAATTTATTTCAGCAACATGCAGATATTAAAAAACAAACTTCTTATTACAACCTATGAAGCTACAACCCATGTATCATCTATACCTTCCTCTTCAACAAAATCTAAAACCGAATCAAAATAATAAAAAATAATAAAAAAATAAACAATGTCACGATTAAAAGATACAAAAATTAAAAAAAAAAATCATTTTCGCGTAAGAAATCAACAATAGGTTTTGCTTGTTCGTGTACTTGACCAACGACCTTCTCTAGTACATCCATTTCACGGGCAATCTTGTAAATTCTTCTTTTAAATAGTCTAAAACAGAAGAATGAAAGTTAAAAACTTGTACACCAAAAGGGTAATATGGTAATTTTATGTTAAGAAATTAACAATTTAGCATACCAGATGAAGTCACGTTCTCTATTTCTCTTTTGTTGTGGAGAAATTTCCCGACGGCGTGAAACAAGGAGAGAGTTTCATCTCTACCCAATGAATAGTACAACCACCCAAAAAAAGAAAAATTCTTCTAATTTTTTTCAGAATATTAATAACACACACAATAACTTTTAATAATTGGAGATAGCATGAGGGGAGGCTTCCAAGTACATATTTAATAAGGTTTAGCTGTCTGTCAAAGGATAACGTTTTGCTTTACAAATCAAGAGTTTAGATTGTAAGTTATCAACAACGGGCTTCCAATGTTTTTTTCAACGCAATGTTAGCACCAATCGGAACTCCCACGTACTTGACTGGTAGAGAGCTTGAAATACAATCAAATATTCGGGTCCATATATTAATCTCACTATCAAAACTATAATGCCAAAACACACGAGACTTATAAAAGTTAAATCTCAGTCCAGAAGATATTTTGAATCAAATACATCAGCTATACGTAAAAAAAAAAAGCGGTCTCAGATCGAGATCGAACTGGTGTAAAACAAGACCGGACCAAAAATGACCGGTCTGAAACAAGATTGTCCTGGACCAGTCTGAAAAAATTACTGACATTTCCTAAACCGGTACCAAAAAAGATTGAACCTTTCGAAGACTAGTGCGAGACCGGTCTAATACCGACCCGAGATCAGTTGCAAAAAAGACCAAAAATGAAAGTTTACATACATATTTTTTCTGTGTTAATTACATATTTTTTTAATCATACATTACTCAATGTCTTCCCTTATTTTTTTTAATTAAAATTTAATGTATCATTTTTATTAATTCTTAATGTATCATTGTAATACTAATCACAAATTTGTTAACGGAAGAACTCGAAATCGAAATCGAAACCAAAAACCCAAAAAATACCAAAACTGAACCGAAACCCCCCTAAAAAACTCACTTTTTTCATTTTATTTATATTTTTAGGCATTTTTATTATTGAAAATTACTAAACAATCTAAAATTCATAAATTTGTTGACCTCTATCAATAGACATCCATATCAAATATTCAATATATAAAACTTTTAGTTCGTTTTACCTATATAATTCATTTTGTACTTTTTAAAATGGTAATATGACTTTGTACTTTAATACTTTGATCATTCACAAATTAATTTAATAAGATTTCGTAAGTGAATTTACTTACATTCATACGTGAATTCAAATAAATATTCATATTCACATATGAGTCGAAATAAATTCATTTGCGACTTATACCATTTCAACATTTTGATTATTCATGAATGAGTTTTGTAAGATTCACAAATGAATTTATCTCAAGTTCACATTCAAATTTACTTAGATCCATACATATCAATATCATATAACCAAATTTACATTGTAAATGTCAACAGTTAATTATATACAATTCAAATTCACATTGTAAATCTGAACGAGCTGTAAAGTTAATTTTTTTTAATTAATTTATTTTTTTGTATATCAATATGGATGTGTATTCATAGATGACAAAAAATTATAAGTTTCATGTATTCGTTTTTTTTCGATACAAAATAAACCATAAAAAATTTAAAAACAAAAAGAAGTAATTTTTTTAATTATAATCTGGTGTAAAACTTAAAAATTAACAACTTTATATATAGCAGACAATACTTGATTCCATTACTTATTGAACTTTTATCCTGTATATTATAATCAACTCATCTTTAAACTTTCAACCTTATATGTCAACGTTTATATACATTCTCTTATTATATTTATTATATAAATAATAGAATAAAACCATCCTACAAAGAATCATCTAATAGTTAGAAGGTAAGGGTTATTCGTTTATTCCCCTTGTGATCCTCATTGTATCGTTGTAGGCTCCTAGGAAACAAAATGAAATATTGTTAACGTTTTCTAAGATAGATTCAACAGGTGCCACTACATTACTTCATTATATCGTAAATCACGATTATGGTTTTTTTTTATAAGGAACGCTATCGAATACATAAATTGTGTTACTATATGTTTCTTAGTTAAAAATACGAAGGTAAGGCAGAACATAATACAAGATAAAAAGTTTAACTATTTATCAATTATCTAAGGGGTATGTAGACTAAAGTCCTAATATTTTCAACGATTTGACAAGAAAGTCTCAAACTTTATTTTTTTGACAGTAAAGTCCTAATTACTAGCTAACCGGTAAAAAATGATAAGCGTGTCAAAAACTGCCAGTAGTTATGACTTTACTGTCAAAAAAATAAAGTTTATGACTTTCTTGTCAAATCGTTGAAAATATTGGGACTTTAGTGTATATATCTCAATATCTACAATGATTTTTCTTTGAAGGGAAAATGACTTAATAGCAAGGTTCTAAAAAGTTCGACATAGTTTCAAGGCTTGTACTTGACGCCAACCTTTAACAAAATGTCGCTTCAACTCATATATGTATATAAAAACGAATACTAGTAGAAAATATATATATAGAATTATTAATTATATACAAAATTACCATTCTAAGTCACGCCTTACAAATAACATGGTTCACCATAACTCGTAAAAGCTTGAGGCTTGACATTGTCATCAAGTCGCGTCTAACGTTATTTAGAACCAATGCTTAATAGGGTAACATAGTTTTCTTATGTACACATTTAGTCCTTATTGACCGACTATTCCAGGTTATGACCGACAACTTCAGGTTAAGTTCTCAGTTTTTATACATTTAGTCCTTAAGTTCCAGGTTATGACCGGTTTTCTTTAGGTTTTGCTCAAATTGCATATTACGTGTGACAATCATTAATACGATGTTCTCATACGTGACTTGTCCCTCATTTATAATAGTAATCTAATTCATGTATCACTCAAATAATATCAGTGCCCTAGTTTCTCCAAGAATAAGATGTCTTCTGTTTCAGTTTCATAACGAATCATTCATGATTGGCCAAATCATTGATACAAATAATATCCAAATACCAAATCCGCCTTCTAGATAACCTTCGCGAAATGGAAGAAACCCTTGGAAAGGTCAGGGAAAAAACTTGTTCTTCTCCCGTAAAGAATTCTTCTAATAATTCTGAGCCGAATCTCTATCTCCATAGCAGAAAATGAGATTCATTATGATTGTTTTCTCCCAACTCGAATTTGCACTCCCAAGACAAAATAACATCATGAAAAAAAGTTTAGTGTCTCCCTAATTCCTTGGTATGTCGATTTTGACCATTTTTCAACAAATAGATTTTTTGTTTATTTCAAATTAACCCTGAATTTTGAAGAAAAGCTTGCATCTGTTACAGAGGAGGTTTCCTGTCTCAGCCACCTTGAATCGCAAAATACTTAAACCCTAGAACGTTTAGGGTCATGTTGCAAGGATTAAGGAGACACGTCATAAACTTCTATTAATTTGTTAATCACTAATAAATTAACAAATTGGATCCCCGATAAACTCTCATATCAATAATTACTTAAAGTTTATCATTGCATGTAATCCAAAAGATCTCTAATATTAATAGTAATATTACCAACTATTATGAGCGTGGACATTATTTCCAACAACTGAAATCATTATGGATTATGTATTTTCTTCACCTGATGTAATGTAGTTGGTATTGATATTGAATGAAGTTTGCATTAGCATTAAATATAGTTGGTATTGTACTATAATAGTTACTAATATCAAACGTATAATGCTATTATTAAAACAAAGACAGAAAACACATGATTCCATTTCCCATACGAGCCACATATGAGAATACTTTATTAATGATTGTCCCATATAGGATGTCATGTAAGCAAAACCTTGAGAAACTTATCATAATGACTAAATGTATAAAAAACAATAAGGATTAAATGTAAAAAAACCATTAATAACTAAATTTGTACAAACTGAAAACTTAACATGGAGTAGTCGGTCATAAGGACTGAATGTGTACAAAAACAATAAGTTCAAGGCTTATTTTACAAAATAAATAAATAAATAAATAAATAAATAATAAAAAGAACTAACATGTACATAGCGAAAACTATGTTTCCCTGTTATGTAACTTTAAAAATATATTGAAACAACAATAATAATATAGTTTAATCAAACAACTACATCAATGTATACTTCGTTACTTTTTTAAGATTTTCATTATTTATTGTTTTAATCTGGTTATACACGACATAAATTAAAAAACTCAATTTTTTTACTTATTACGTGTTATATTAGTTTCCAAATCGATTATTAACAGGTAAATTAAATTTGTTTTATAAAGACTTTACATTGTGTATTTTTTTTTTCCACTTTCGACATTTTTTTTTTCTAAAATAAGGTTAAATTTAATATATTTTTGTTATTTCATTAATAGTGGTGGTTACCAATAGATAACTGTATATCCTCTAACTCATTTGTGTCCTATATGGATATAGACTAAATAAATAATGCTAAAATGAAAGTATGTTATTGCAAGCAAGAAACTCTTCTATTACATCCTGTTCCAAGATTGTTTTTCACAAAGATTAAGTATGTCTTTTGATGTTGTTCAAGGCTATTTTGGTATGCTCTAATAGTATGTTTATTTTAAAACTATATTGGAATAGTTTTACAAATAAGTTGTTATTTTGTATCTTTTTTTTTTGGAAAGGGAACTTCCCTAACAAGGGTTTCCGGGCCAGCTTTCGCGCACCGATTAATCCCCCGCTGCAAACATGAGGCTTTGGCTCATGCCCTGAAGTCACTGCAGGCGAACCTCCATGACCACAAGGGCTGAGTGGTGTCAGGATTTGAACATGGGTCAATAGGTTATCCACCATATCTTCCACATGTCTTACCAAGTCACCACAACCCAAGTGGTTATGTTATTTTGTACCTTTAAGTTCAATTTATCTTAAATATTTATCAATGTTTTATAATAAATACTAAACTTATTTAATATTGTATGTATGAATAATCTCAATCGTTAACCATTTTTTACTTTTATAACCTTCAATTTTCCATGCTTCGGTCCTCTTTTGCTAAAAACAAGTAATAAAAATATATTTTTTTAAAATATACTATCAAGGGTGTGTTTGAGATTGCTTCTCAAACTTCTTATTGACTTTTTGGAAAAGCCGGAAATTTCTGACTTTTAAGAAAAACTATTTTTAAAAAAAAAAAAAAAAAAAGTTAATGTTTGCCAAACATCTTTTTAACTTATTATCTTTATGAAAAGCTAATAAACCAATAAATCATTTTAAAAAAAAAAAGTCACAAACATTCACCACGAATGTTAAACTAAAAAGAAAAAAGTTTAAACCCATTCCAATTTTGCGAAAACAAGAGGAGAGGAGATAATAAGGTTGAAAGGTCGGTTTCATGGTTATATAAACAAACAGAGGAAACGTCATAAGATAAATAAGATAATGAGATAATCTCTCACTCAAACCCTAATTTAATATTAGCATCCGACGGAGATCACAAATGGCAACTGGAATTAATAGGCAGCCTGATCATGGAATATCTGCTTACAATATTCCTAAATTCTACCACCATTTTGCCTATCATCGTTGGACTTACCACGGTTTAGAATTTACCGTCGTCCATCGTCGTTTGTCGCTTCTTACTTGGAATTCTCCATCGTCATTGCTATTTCCTTTAAATTTCACCATGATCTCGTCACTAGTCAGTAGTCACCACTTGTGCTCTGTGGAGGTCTCGTCAGCAAATCTCTCTCTCTGCTCCTTGTGCCATTTGGCGCTCATTTTCCATTTTTTACTCCACTTGCTACTTTATTACTACTGCTACAGAGATCTTCGTCGTCACACCTCCCAGGTTGGTATACTGCTTGCCATTAGTTGCAATTTTCAAATGTTTTGTGTGTGTTAGTACATATTTTATATATATACATAAAATTCAAATATAGCATTAATGGAATCTTTTAAGTATCATTGACTAAATTTATTGCAGTTCATGATATGGTCATTTGAATAATAACGAATGAATTAGAACTGGTAACAGAACTATTCTTATTCTATAATTTTTGGGGCAAGTGATTTGTCGGCAGTTTATGTCGTTAATTTTGCATCTTATTTTTATTTACTCACACAATATGTTTGCTGAACTACTGTTTAGTCCTTCTTGTTCAAGAACTTGCAAATAAGTACCTTGAACCTCCATAACTACTACATTGTGTTAATTGGGGAGGGAAGTTGTGTTGGAACTTGTGGTATTGCTGCAATGAACTAGTCATAAACTATGATAACTTTCATACAGAAAGTTAGGAGATGAAAGAAGAGATAATGAATGCAACTGTGCAACTAAATTCAAATATATACATATATTAATCTAACAAATTAGCTAATTACTCAAAACTGTTGATGTAAATTCTAGTAGAAGCTCTACTTTTTTTTCTTTTTTTTTTACTTTAGGTGGTATCAGAGGGGTGTAAAGTGTGCATGCCAAAGCACAGGGGGTTGTCTTGAACCTTGCTAAACCATATAGGGAAGATGTGAACTTTATAAAAAACTTATACCTGAAAAAAAGTGTGTGAGAGAGAGAGAGAGAGGACTAATGTCCAATGAATAAGTATTTAGAACTTAACTTGTTTATTATTATTTACTTTAATGATATGACCTTCTACAGGTTTTGTATTATTAGAATATGTTTCAGAAAAGGAAGACAAATGATGAGAGAGACAAAGAGAGATTTTGCAGATTATGGAATTCTTTTTGGAGGGATAGAATGTTTACTTGAGAAATTATTGCAGTTTGTAGGAGTTAACTAGCCTAGGAAATTTTGGAGTTAAAGTTTACTCTTAACATGTTTATGAATGTTCTACTGTTCCAAGTACCAACTTCTGTTGTTCATGCATTGCAGGAAGATCTACTTACACCCGATTGAGTTTGGTTAATGAAGCTGGTTAGTCCACCTTTTCTCATCTCTATATGCTTCCATTTTCAAATTATTAGGTGTTCTAGCATGATTATAGGCAAACACAATTCTTCATATATACATGTTTATGTTGATGATGAAACTGAAATTATATTATTTATCAGCAAAAAGATGTATATAATTTTTTTTTTGCATAATTCAGGAATTATTTTCTATGTACACATCAACAAGAACTTGTTTTTTGTTTTGGGTGATAAGGTCAAAAAAGAGTACTTCTATTATTCCCATTTTTAGTTTTTTGTTATTGTATTTCTTACTTGAGATGCTACAAGGAAGACAAAAGAATAAAACTGATATAGGCCCCCCTTTCATGAGAGTTAAAAAGTAGAAGAAAAAATCTTTGTATGATCCCAAAGCCTTGTTTTTAACACAACCTGTTGTCCGATCTGAAGTCTCATCCTTCTTGTTCCTACTATTCATTGCTGTGGATTTGAGTCATAATTTTTTAAAGTTCTTGATTTGGCATATAACATTTAAGAAAAACTGTTGGATACTACATTACCCTTCCTCTTCTAAGAGTTAAGCAAACTAGCAAAAAATATTATGAGCATCTAATCGTGTCTTCAGTAAAGAAAGTCTTCAAACGCCTTATACATTTTTTGGAGCAAAAGTCTGACTTGTCTTTCCACATTAACCAAAATCCATATCAAGAATCATCTTACACTTTTACATCAACAGGTAGTGGCATTGGAAGACTAAAACATTGTAGAAGATGGACCTGCAACAATCAGTAGCAGACCAATTCACAAATCTGCATCCATGTATGCCTCTGAATACAAGAATAGGCATAATAGGAGGTGGCCCAAGTGGTTTATCAGCAGCTTATGCACTTGCTAAGCTTGGTTATAGAAATGTGACCCTTCTAGAGAAATACCACACAGTCAGTGGCATGTGTGAATCAACTGATATTGAAGGCAATATGCACCTCCTCTTTCCTCTTTCCTCTTTCCTCTTTCCTCTTTCCTCTTTCCTCTTTCCTCTTTATACATTGCTCAATTGGGTAACTCGTCTAAATGATATCGAGTTAAACCTCTTCATTTTTACAGGAAAAATCTACGATCTTGGAGGGCAGGTTCTTGCAGCAAATAGTGCCCCCACTGTTTTCCATTTGGCAAAAGAACTTGGGTCGGAGCTTGAAGAAATGGACTCTCATAAACTAGCCCTCATTGACAGTTCAACTGGGAAATATGAAGACATCCAAGTTGCTGATGATTATGTAGCTGTAATCCCATTAGCCTTTGAACTCCAGGTTAGTATTGTCTTCAACTATTTCTGACAAATCTTTCTGTTTGCTTTCATTTGAAATGTTGAAATGTTATCTTTTGTAGGATAAGGTAAAGAAGTCAGGTAGAAATGGAGTCCATGCCATTAGTGAATTTGCTTCAGAACCAGTTCCTGAGTTCCTGGAGAGTAAAGGGCTAAAATCTGTTCCAAAATCCGTGGCCTATGGATACACTGCTTCTGGATATGGATTTGTTCAAGATATGCCTTATGCTTACATTCATGAATTCACAAGAACTTCAATGGCTGGTAAAATAAGACGGTTTAAAGGTGGGTATATGGGATTCTGGCAGAAATTAAGCAACTCTCTCCCCATACAAGTTCAATGCAACACAGAAGTATTATCCATCAGACGCACCTCCTCAAGTGTCTCTTTAGACACCATGAACAGTAGTAGCAAAGAAGTCAAAACCATGGAATTCGATAAGATCATCATTTCTGGATCTCTTCCTTTTACAAATGGGAAAATATACAGATCACCAACCTATGTTCCACCAGGTAGGTGTATTACAATATCTATATCTTAAAATTCTATTTAAATTCATATGTTGAAACTTGAAATGAATGTATTTCTTTTACAGATACTGTCAATGGGTTGATGGATTTGAGTGATCTTGAGAAGGAGCTGTTTAGTAAAGTGGAGACAATAGATTACTATACGACTGTTTTGAAAATAAAAGGATTCGATCATTTGCCAATTGGATTTTATTACTTTGGCGAGTTCATGGATGATCCTGCAACTATAGGCAACCCAGTGGCTGTTCAGAGATTCTATGCTGACACAGATATTTATCTTTTCTGGTCATATGGTAATTCAGTTGATATCAAAGGTCCAAAAGTGACTCAACTTGCAATTGATGCTGTTAACAGAATGGGTGGTCAAGTTGAGAGTGTAATATTGCAAAGACGCTTCAAGTATTTCCCACATGTTACTAGCCAAGGTATGTAAAAAAAAATGTTAATAACCTCCTTATTCGTGAACTCAAAGAAAGCATATTAAAACTCCATAACACCTTTTCACTTCTTATAGATATGAAGGAAGGATTCTATGACAAAATGGAAATGGAACTTCAAGGTCAGCAAAACACCTACTATGTAGGTGGACTTGTAGCATTTGAACTTACAGAGAGAAATTCAACGTACTCTATGAACCTAATTCGCAAGCACTTTGCAAATGATGACCCTTTACCAAAGTTTCCATATGTGAAGGTAAATTAATATACATCATTAAAAGTTAAAAACACCATTACAATTTGCAGGACCCAATGAATTATTTAGTCTTAAAAAAAAAGCTTTTTGTCCCTCTTTTTTGCAGAGATTGTTTCCACTATTATCAGATAGCTTGGACAGAAACCCTGAACAGCTGGATGAATATCCGGGTGTAACATTCCCTGACTTGTGTAGTCTTGATGGGTATTTGAGCCACTGGGGTACTCATGAAATCACTAAAGACAAAACACTTTACACTTGGATTAATGATGAAGGGGAGGAGGCATATAAGCGGACTTATGGAGAACTTCATGCCAATGCTTCTTGCATTGCTCATAAGCTGTTGACTAGTCAAAAACCAGTTATGTGTCCTGGTGACAGAGTGTTGTTACTTCATGTTCCAGGGCTTGATTTTGTGGATGCGTTCTTCGGCTGTTTAAGGGCAAGATTAATTCCAGTTCCAGTTTTGCCCCCTGATCCTCTCCAAAGAGGTGGACAGGCGCTTTTGAAGTTAGAAAACATTGCTAAATCAAGCGATGCAAAGGCAATCTTGTCAACTGTGCTTTACCATGGAGCTGTAAGGGCAGGGTCTGTAAAAAACTTGATCTCTTTAAAAAGTGGGAAAAGTGCTGCAAAATGGCCTAATCTTCCATGGATACATACAGATTCTCTTGTGAAGAATGCTAAAAGTGTTGACTTTGAAGACTTTAAAATATCAGAACCAAAGGGAGAAGATCTCTGTTTTCTTCAGTTTACTTCTGGATCAACTGGCGATGCTAAAGGAGTAATGATAACTCATGGTGGCCTAATTCATAATGTGAAGTTGATGAGAAACATATACAAGAGCACATCAAGGACAGTTTTAGTAAGTTGGCTACCTCAGTACCATGACATGGGACTAATTGGTGGACTTTTTACATCTCTTGTTAGTGGTGGAAATGCGATTCTCCTCTCTCCTATGACTTTCATTAAAAAGCCTCTTCTGTGGCTTCAAACCATGTGCAAGTATCGAGGCACTCACAGTGCGGGCCCAAATTTCGCATTTGAACTTGTGGTCAGAAGATTAGAGGGTATGAAGGATAAGGTGTTGGATTATGATCTTTCTTCCATGAAGTTTCTTATGGTTGCTGCTGAACCAGTGAGACAAAAAACCCTCATGAGTTTTGTTCAACTTACTGCACCTTTCGGCCTTTCACAACAAGTAATGGCTCCTGGTTATGGGTTAGCAGAAAATTGTGTTTTTGTTTGTTGTGCATATGGAGAAAAGAAGCCCATTTTGGTAGACTGGCAAGGAAGGGTGTGTTGTGGGTATGTTGGTCAAAGTGATGAAGATGTTGACATCAAAATAGTCAACCCAGAAACCGGTTTAGAACACGAGCCCGGGAAGGAAGGAGAGATATGGATCAGCAGTCCAAGTGCTGGAATTGGATACTGGGGAAAGGAAGATTTGAGTGAGAAAACTTTCAGAAATTTACTCGGGGGTAAAAAGTACACAAAAACTGGCGATTTGGGGAGGATAATAGATGGAAACTTGTTCATCACTGGTAGGATTAAAGATCTTATTATTGTAGGTGGAAGAAATATATATTCAGCCGACATAGAAAAAACAGTGGAAAGTGCTTCTGAACTCTTACGCCCCGGTTGTTGTGCTGTCATTGGTGTTCCGGAAGAAACGTTATCCACAAAGGGTATTTCTGTCCCGGATTCTTCTGATCAAGTTGGATTAGTGGTGATTGCAGAGGTTAGAGATGGTAAACCAGTCAGCAAAGAAGTTGTTCAACAAATTCAAATCCGGGTGGCTGAAGAACACGGTGTCACGATCGCATCTGTGAAGCTGATAAAACCTCGAACAATCAGTAAAACGACATCTGGAAAGATAAAAAGATTCGAATGTCTGAAACAGTTTGCTGATGGGACTTTGAATCTTGTTCCAGAACCAATTGTGACTAAAAAAAGGTTGATGAGGTCGTACACTACAGGGACATGTAGGGAAGGGAACACACCTAGGCCTTTACTGGACACCAATCGCCCGTTGCCAGTGCCAGCTGGCGGGCCAAGTCATAAAGAGATTGAAGAGTTTTTGATGGGTGTAGTTTCTGAGCAAACAGGAATTTCTGTGAACAAGATCTCCACAACTGAAGGACTCACATCTTACGGGATTGACTCGATTGGGGTCGTTAGAGCTGCTCAAAAGCTCTCAGATTTCCTTGGGGTTCCAGTTGGAGCAGTTGACGTGTTTACTGCCACTTGTATCTCTGACCTGGCAAGTTTCTCAGAGAATCTTTTACTCAAATCTCAACCAAACAACGCGACTAGCCCTTTTCCTGTTCAAGAATATGAGAATGACACTTCTTTCGATTTGATGACTGAGGTTTCGGCACTTCACCAGTTCAAAATCTGGACATTGCAGATTCTTGCACTTGTGTATATATGCATGATGCTTGTTCTTCCTGCGTATCTATCTGTTTCAATGTTCATGAACTTCATCTCTTCTGGTCATTCGTGGTTAGGGTATGCTACCTGTTTACTTTTTGCTCCTATCGCATGGATATTCTGTATATTCGCAACTTGCATATCGGTGGCTTTTTTTGGTAAATCTTTCCTCCGGCCGAATTACGCTTTGACCCCTGAGGTTTCCATATGGTCTATGGATTTTGTCAAGTGGTGGACGCTTTACAAGGCACAAGAAATTTCTTCCAAGGTTATGGGAACTCACTTGAGGGGGACAGTGTTTTTAAATTACTGGTTTGAGTTGTTTGGAGCAAGAATTGGTTCATCGGTTTTGCTGGATACAGTTGACATTACAGACCCATCTCTGGTTTTTATCGGAGACCAAGCTGTGATTGCAGAAGGTGCACTGATTCAAGGACATGAAGTAAGGAATGGAGTTTTGAGTTTTCTACCAATTAGAATTGGTCAAAGGTCTGAAATCGGTCCTTATGCTGTGATCCAAAAAGGAACTCTTTTGGGGGAAGAAGCTAAAGTGGGAGCCTTACAGAAAACGGAAACCGGAAAGCCTGTTTTCCGATCAGGCAGGCGCAAAAATGTTCAGAAGGTAATTTTTAACTTCTACACTTCATTTTTTTTTTTCCAAAAATGGTGAAAAGTGTTTATTCTTTTGTGTATATTTGGTCTCAGGATGCAGCAATTGACACTCAAACTCCGGCAATCTATCACCTGATGGGTATTTACATGGTCGGATTTCTAAGTTCTCTTTCAGCCGGAATAGCTTACTTCCTTTACACATCTTTATATCAAGAGTCACCATCTCTTAACCACTTTGCGTTTCTCTGTGTTGCCGGAGCTTTCCACTGGCTTCCTTTCACGATTATCGCGTATGCTACCATGATTGTTACCACCTCAGTGGACCCACTGACCTTTGCCACGTCACTTGCTGCTGCTTACCTGGCTCATGGCTTGATCCTCAGCTTACTAACCTGCACAATCACATGGTTCCTTGAGAAAGAAGAAGAGAGCCTGTTTAAAATATGGCTTCGCCATCGGATCAATATTTCTTGCCATCTTAAATTCGCCAAGCTTCTTTCCGGAACTGAAGCATTTTGTATGTATTTACGGTTGTTGGGTGCAAAGGTCGGAAACCATTGTTCGATTAGAGCCATCAACCCAGTTTCCGACCCTAGACTGATTTCAATCGGTAACGGCGTTCATTTGGGTGACTTTAGCAGAATTATTGCTGGGTTCTACTCTATTACCGGGTTTAAAAGTGGGAAAGTTGAAGTTCACGATAACGCAGTAGTTGGAAGTCAGAGCCTTCTCCTACCTGGTTCAGTCGTTCAAAATGATGTCATTCTTGGTGCTCTTTCAGTGGCTCCAATCGATTCAGTTCTCCAAAGAGGTGGTGTTTACATTGGTTCTCAAACTCCGGTTATGATTAAAAACACCATGCATGCCCTAGATGAACGCATAGAAGAAATGGATGTGAAATACAAGAAGATCGTCGGAAACCTAGCTGCTAATCTCGCTGCCACTACTCTTAAAGTCAAATCGAGATACTTTCATAGAGTCGGAGTTAGTGGGAAGGGAATCTTAAAGATTTATGATGACATTACAGGATTTCCAAATCATAAAATCTTCTACCCGGGGAAAACTTACCCTATCATCATCAGACACAGTAACAGCTTAAGCGCAGATGATGATGCAAGACTCGATGCACGTGGTGCAGCTGTGAGAATCCTATCTGCCGAAGCCGAAACCGAAACCCCGATTCTCGACCTGACATTGAAAACCGGAAATGCATTCTATGCAAGGACGATCTCCGATTTCGCCACGTGGCTCGTTTGTGGACTGCCAGCAAGAGAACAGCACGTGAAGCGGGTCCCACATGTGCGTGACGCTGTATGGACATCACTTCGCAACACCGATTCATTTACCAGTTTGCATTACTTCTCAAACATATGCAGGATTTTTCGGTTCGAAGATGGAAGTGAAATGTATGTCAAATTTAAATTGAGACCTTTTGACGATAACATACCTGAAGAATCCGGTAGGATTGAACCCATCGGAATCCTTCCTCCAGAAACCGGTGCAATTCCGAGAGACGTTAATGACAAAAGGCCACCTGTTTTCCTTGCTGATGATTTTCAACACAGGGTGAGTCAACCAGGTGGGGTTAGGTATGTTTTCCAGTTACAGATCCGAGACGTACCCAAAGATGAACTCACCCAAGACATCGCACTTGACTGCACAAAACCATGGGACGAAACCCAATTCCCGTATATCGATGTGGGAGAGATAACAATCGATCAAAATAACACACGAGAACAATCGGAGAAGTTACAGTTCAATCCTTTCTTGAGATGCAACGAGGTGGATGTAATTCGCGCCACATCCTCCTCACAGAGTGCTTCAATCGATCACGGCCGTTCATTGATATACGAGATCTGTCAACATCTGAGAAACGGTCAGCCACTTCCGGAGTCATGGAGGAGTTTCATAGAACAATCCGATGTCAAAGTAGACCTCTCCGGTTGTCCCATGGCAGCAACAGTAACAACACCGCCGGAGAACAAAAACTCCGGCGAAGTGACTCTGGCGAGAACATGGTACCAAACTTCATGGACACTATTTGGGCAGCCTCTGTTACAGACGTTCTTGCCTTACTTCCTAATGGCGTTGCTAATCTCGGGTCCGTTAAACTTGATGTTTTACATAAAGTCAACAACCGGGTACCCGATTCAGTGGCTGTTGCCTCTATTTTGGGTGTGTTCCGGTGTGTGTGGTGGGATAGCATGTGTGATTGCAAAGTGGGTGTTGGTGGGAAAGAAGAAAGAGGGTGGGAGTGTGTTGATTTGGGGGAAAGAGGTGTTTATGGACACGATTTGGCAGGCGTTTAGGACGTTGGTGGGGGAGTATTTCATGGAAATAGTGAGTGGGAGTTTTTTGTTTGTTGTGTGGATGAAGGTGATGGGGTCGGAGATTGATTTGAATGGAGGGGCTTATGTGGACAGTATGGGGGCGGTGTTGAACCCTGAGATGGTGGAGATTGAAGGCGGTGGGTGTGTGGGGCGGGAGGCTTTGTTGTTTGGACATATTTATGAAGGAGATGGTGGGAAGGTCAAGTTTGGGAAGATTAGGGTTGGTGAAGATGGGTTTGTAGGGAGTAGGAGTGTTGTTATGCCGGGTGTCAGGGTGGAGAATGGTGGTAGTCTCAGTGCACTGTCACTTGCATTTAAGGGAGAAATTATTAAGTCTAAATAAATACTTGTGATTCAAGGGAGAAATCGTTAAGTGAAATCATTTACATTCTCTATGTTCGTTGCTGTATCGAGTAATAAAAGCATTTCACACTTGCAATTTTACTAAAATAGGTAATATATTCCCCTCTCTTCCTTCTTCTTGTTGTATAACTTAACAATAGTCTATAAGTTGATGAAAAATGATAATGTCTTCTTTTCATGTTCTTCAAGAACGTTAACGGAGTATCTTTCTCCCATATAGCAAGCAGTATTACAGAATTTGATTGCGTGACCTACTGTTCAACCATAAGCCAGTTTTGCATGATTTGTTCAACGTTGCACATAAATATGTTTTATGATAACCAAAAGCATATCTAGTAGGCATACATTCCCCTGCATTCCATATCAACGTCATGTCAGCATGACATCTTGTAAGCTTATTTAGACATCTGTCAGCATGACATCTTGTAAGCTTATTTAGACATCTTGTACGCTCATGTCAGCATGCCCACATCTTTGTGTACTTCATATGCTCGTTTAAACTAGTATGCTTTTCGGCGAATTCTTTTCATATGATTGCAGTTGAAACTGAAATTGATAGTAGTCGTCGTATTTGAACTTCTTGCTATTCCTTTTTTTTTGTTCTTTATTTCGACCCATTGGACGAGGAATTGGTTCAATATTGGGTATTTCATAGTCGTTGTCGTTAAGGTCGACTCATATATGATCATCCCATAGTATTTCATACGAATTCGAGTCGGTTGATTTACGAGATCACAAACCTCGGAAGAAAGGTTCAACCGTTCCAAAGCGCTTCCATTTCGTATCATCTTTTATAATACGCTAAACATGCAAAAACTTGAAAGGCACACCTGTTTCCTCATAAACATGTACTCCGTTTTCTCTATAATACTTACCTCACTTTCCCTGCTTCTCCATTGGTTGTATAAGTTTTTGTAGATACCATTAAATTGTGAGACAACCTTGTTGACGTTTCCTCACTTCGACTAGACTTGGTCTTTTAGTTTGGTACTCGGCACCTCGTTCCATCCCTTGGCAAAAACGAGTCATAATATGAAGCCAAAATTTGTCCTGGTCATTGTCGGTGCACGCACTTTCGATATATGGAACCACGATTTTGCCAACTCAACCTCCTCTTCATGATCCTATTTCTTACGGGATTTGTTTTTGATTTTCTTGGGTTGGTTTTGGGCTGGGGTTCGGATTGAGGTTGGGTTTATGGTTAGGGTGGGGTGGGGCTTGCAATGAGGGTTCAAGTAAGGTTTGGAATTGGTTGAATTTGATGAAAAAAATTTGTTGTGATATTGGGTATTGGGTATAAATCGACTGATCACCACTAAACATTGGGTTTGGAGAGTAAATCGGAGCGTCTAATTGTGGACGATAAGGTTGTGGTGAAGAAGGATCCTATGTGAAAATTTTATGGTGGAAGTGTGGAAGAATTGTTGTTTGGAGACATTTTGTAGTAGTGAATGAAGAATTAGGGTGTAGGATCGAAAAAAAAATGTTAGAGAAATGGTTGATATATATTGGTAGAAAGGGAAAAAGAATATATATATAGCCAACAGCTATTTTTTTGGGAAGAGGAAGGAGGTGCCATTAAACAGATGCCGTTCCTTCATGTGTTTTTGGTCTACCTTTCCTAGGGGGCGGTGTTCCAAAGTTTCCCATTTATGTCACTATGATTTCAGACATACACTTCTTGTAGCCTTAGTGGGCATACATTCCCTCCATCTCATACCAATTTTTTTTTTAAAGTAACTATTTTAAATCAACTAAAGTTAATTTTAAAAACTATAAATATAAAACAAAACATAAAACTTTTATTGAAAGTTAAAGCGAACAACATTACATAACCGGAAATTAAATAAAACGTAACACTTCGATTTGGATAATGAAGAAGAACCGGTGCCCACCTTGGCGAACTGACAAAATTATAAACACGATTTCCCAACATGAACAACTTGATTTCAAACCAAACCATAACGTTTTATATTTACTATTACAATACAAACCTCACTACAAGTTACCTACTTTACTCTCTTATGAACACACAGATTTCAAGATTTCAACATATTATCAACCAAGAATATGAAACCCTAAGTTCAAACCCTAATATGTAAGAACAAAACGAAGACGAGAGAGAATCAACAAGATAATATATGCTTGAATGAATGATAACACAACAACTCAGCTTTATATATGTTGGGTTGTCATTAACCCGACAACCGGCGAGATAACCCAAAAAAATAATAATAATAAATAAACAAGATAAGATACACTCAACACCCCTCAACAATTACGAATATGCACCTGAGACACCGGATATAAAAGAAACGCAATACAAAACTAAAAAGGACAAATTGTTAGTTTGCTTAAAATACATTTCGTTATCTCAACACCCCCGGTCAAACTAATCATTTGACAACTTATTTGACAGGAAAAGGATCAACCAAACACATTTTTTCACAAAGATTTTCATGTTCAAAAGAACCAAGAGAATTAGTCAAAACATCAACAATTTGATTAACACAACCAACCTTAACAAGATTAATAACACCATCTGCAATCTTTTTCTTAATAAAGTGAACATTTATTTCGCCAATTGGGAATAGTGCAATTGGTATGGGTGAGCAAACCAAGAAACCGACGAAACCGAAATCGAAAAAACTGAAATCGAAGCAAAACCGACGGTTAGGGTTTTGATTTTTTTAAAACCGAAAAATCGGGTTCGGTTTTGGTTTTTACCCATAAACCGACCCATCTAACCCGAGAAACCGACCCATACTTAAAACCGACAAACCGCCCCAAGAAACAGACCCATCCAACCCGTGAAACCGACTCATACTTGATTGTAATAGACTATTACGGGCTTTGTTTGTAACTTGTAATAGACTATTTGGTTGTAAGACTCATGTTTTTTGAAGTATTTAACTTTAATTTGGTGTTTTTTAAAGTATTTAACTTATTGCTTCATTTCTGGAAAACGGGTTAAAACCCAAAACCCATGGGTTTAAACCCAGAACCCGTGAGTGTATGGGCTGAACCCAAGAAACCGAAAAACCGTCCAAACCGACCTCAGAACCCGAGAAACTGAACCGACCAGAAACCGATCCTATTAGGTTCTGAAAACCAGAAACCGACCATTTATGGGTTGGGTTGGGTTTGGGTCCAAAACCGACCGAGAGGCCGGTGCTAACAAGAATTGAAGGATTAACACTAACACCGTTGTCGTTCAAAAAAAAATGAACATCTATTTCAAAATGCTTAGTTTATCATGAAACGCTGTTTAAAGCCAATTTGATTGCAAATCCATTATCACAAAAAAGATTAAACGGAACAGTATTACTAAACTTTAAATAATACAAAATTTTTAACACCAAAATTATTCACATGTTAAAGAACCAAAAGCCCAATACTCAGACTCAATTGATAACCTGGAAATTGTAGATTGTTTTTTTACTTCTCCAAGAAATAAGAGAATCACCAAAATAGACCAAATAAGCACTTACTTATTTTCAAGAAAATAGACACTTAGCCCCATCAGCATCAGAAAAACCTCTCAAAACAAGAGAATAAGTTTTTAAATAACAAACCCTTTTTCCAGGACTGTTTTTAAGATATCTTAACAACCTCAAAGCAATTCTTAAACGAGATCTTCTAGGTTACATGTCACTTCGGTCACATCCGAAGTCGGTACCATTCACTATATCTTTGTTACCAAAGATCTTTTCTGTAACATCGACTAACAATGTGTCACTATGTGACAACTAAAGAGGGTGGATGCATTGGAGGAATGTCTTGCTTGAAGGTGAGGAGGTTTTAAGAGGGTTGAACACTCTGATTAAACTGGAGTTGAAATGGGTTAGGAGGAGCTTAGTCTGATTCGTGATTAATTTCACATCAAGATGAAAGGGTTTGGTGTGTTGGTAGTAAGATCCATTGTAATTTAAAGATATTATAAATTGTAATTTAAATAAAAAAAGATGAAAAATAATAGAGAAAATGATACAAATGGCCTACGAACTGTCTAGGGTTAGTTCTTTTAGTTCCTTAACTGTTTTTGTGACTTTATGAGGAAACCAACTCGTAAGCAACTGGTCTTTTTAGTCCATTTTATTGGTTTTAGCCATAATGATGGGCCTATAATTAATTAACTATTATGACATGGCATAATAATTATTGTGTAACATCCGGATTTCCAGGTATCATAAATTGAGTATTTATTTTAAGTCAAGGAGAGGGACTCGACGAGTTGATGCCTAGACTCGTCGAGTACGATCGGGATTGCTGACTAGGATTAATGAACGGAGTCGACGAGTCGGCAAGTGGACTCGACGAGTCCGCGCTGTGGACAGAAACCCTAAATCTTCGGGCATGTGCCCTATTTAAGGGATCTTATGGCCCTCATTTGCGGCCACCTTCACCCTTGAGAGCACCAGAGAACCTGAGAGCATTGTGAGTGAGATAAGAAGCCATTTTCTTCATTTCTAGTGTGATTTTTGCAAGAAAGAAGGAAGGAGGGCAAGCTAGGCGGATTGAGGAGCTCAGATCTGCTATCATTTGATCAGAAGAGGCTGCCAGAGGTATAAATCTATGCTCATTCTCATGTATATGGTGGCCTACTTAAATCTAGGGTTTTCTTATGCCTTCTTTAGCTTGGATTCGAAGCATATGAGGTCCCAAGGTGGAATTCTTCTTAGATCTGGACCTTAAGAGGTCCATAGAGTCCTAACTATCCTGCTTTATGCTATCCCTTTGGAGATATGAACCTAGGTTGCCATTTTAGAAGCTATTTCACCAAAAGAAGCCCTATGAGTGTTGCATGAGCGTAAAGGTTGGACCTTTACGTAATTATTGTGTATTGGAAGGTCAGATCTATAGGTCAGAGAAGCAGATCTGACCTCAGAAGGTCATTTGAGTAATCTCATGGACGAAACTCGCCGAGTCCATGAGCGGACTCGGCGAGTCGGATCGTGTTGCACCACGATTCGTGTTCAG